TAACTATATTATCTACTTTATATTCTAGGATTGTGAATTATTCGTCAGGAGCTTGAAAATGATGTCTCACAAGACCCCCTAATTTAATTGTTTTCTCCAGATGACGCTCAGTCGTCATATTGAAATTTTCATCTGTCAATTTTGCTCATTAATATAGTATTTATGCATCAAATTCACTATCTCAGGTTTCAATTTTCTCAGTTGATTTGTTCAAAAAATAAAAATGGGGGCATAGGAGAGCACTGTATGTTTCACATGGCAGTAAATGTAGATTGACTGGCAAAAACCGGATTATACTAATGGCACCCTCAGGGGGATATTATTGTTTGGTTTCCAAATTTCATAAAAATCATTACTGGCCATTCAATATTGTTCAAAAAACTACTCGATAAGTCGTACAGTTTACCATAACAATCAGAAAAGTTCGCACTATTTCAGTGACATAACGAATTGAATTTCACCATTACAAAAAGCTACACAGGGTAAACAAGAAAAGATTCTACGCATATTTTGAACTATGACGGCCTGTATTTTGGAATCGAAGCGATTCCATAACTTTTAGTCCTAAAGAAGTCAAGAAATCACTTCCTTCGTTATATCGAGAATAGACAACATCGTGTCAGGATTGGTGACAGTACTAGTGAATTCTAGACCATTGAATATGGTGTACCACAAGGATCTGTTCTAGGGCCAGTTCTATTCACCCTCTATCTTAATGATATATTCAAGGCTGGATTTGAGGTAAAAGTAGTTAGTTTTGCAGATGACACTGCTGTTTTATATGAAGCTGATACCTGGAAAAACTCGAAATTGAAGACAAATATAATTGAATGGTTCAATAATCGTATACTCACGATAAATATGTCCAAGACTCATTATGTACCTTCGTATATAATCAGCAAATGAATATCCCTTCAGCGACAAGTATTGGATACCTATAGGAATGTATATAAATGCCAAACTATAATGGGACATTCATATAGATTTCGTGATAAAAAAGTTGAGAACAATATTGTATAAAATTAAACACATATAGCAGTTGCGAATAATATACTTCTAGCTGATAGAGAATCATTTGACATACGGAACCATAACATGGGGTGCAGCACTGAGAAGTCATATAGTAGGACTTGAAGGAATCCAAAAATATATATCAAGAACCATAAACCAGAAACCAAAGATTTTTTTTTCTACTCACATAACTAAAACGCAATTCAGAGTACGGATATGTACCACGCTAAATGATCGATCAATCACGGATTGACGATCTGTGATTTATTCAAAATATTAAACACGTTCCCATGGCAACACGATTTCTTAAACACATCACCATGGCAACACAGTTCATTAAACACAGCTTCAGTAATTTGAGACATGTCTGGCCTGTCAATTGTATTAGCTGACAACTGTTATTTTCAAATTTTGTATCAGAATTATTCAAACAATATTCGTTTGTATCAGAATTCTTCATTCTTCAAAAATATATGAGAAATGTAGACGAAAGTGAAATCAAAGAGAATGTTCTGGTACATGCATATCTCCAAGAAGTGTAAAAATGAAGCATCCATCTTTGAGAACAATTGATTCATTCTGTGCTAAGCATGACAATAAATGTGAAACAATGGTTAGTAATCAATGGACTGGACAAATCTACAACCAATATCACTTATACGTGCCTCGCTGGTTGCATGTATTATGTTCTCGATTCCCATTCCTTTCGAATTATTTTGAAGGTTAGCAGGAATAGCAGATAAGTTGATGTAACTTTCGGAGTTCGTAGAAAAAGCATAGTATGTAACGCGTTTATAAACTCTTCTAGACACTCGTTTATTAAACACTCGCTCCGCTCTGCTCCGCTCGTGCTTAAAATACTCGTTACTAAAAGGACGTTTATAACACTTGTTACATAATATACTATTAAACTGTCGAACGTTTTAGATATACGCCAATTATATTTTCTTAAGACTACAATTTATCTACGTTCACGAAAATTTTAATTATTACCTTATTTCATCATAAAATTGGATATAATATATCTCCTACTCCCTACGCACAGACTTGATCTTCTGTAGGGCTACCAATTCATTTCTTCTCTACATATCTCTCTATACATATATTTATTCTACAATATATATTTTTAATAAACTCGACATTTACTTCAGGAACCTCCTGTACTATACGTTTTTGTACTCGATTAAGGTCAATTCTGTCCATAATTTACGTTATAAGTAGCTGATTATTAACTTTAATGATGCGAGAGAGATGCAGATTGCAAATTTATCATTTCAAGGAACAAGGAAAAAATTAGCTACTGTCAGCGTTTTCCTTGCTTTATATAACATAACAAAATTGCATTCAAAATTTCCAGCAGTGGAAAGGAAAATGGTAAGTAAATATTAAATTAACAACATAGTCGACTAGGCAATTCAGGAGTTTTCATTGTTTTTCTTAGATCTTTTTGGTCTGCGAAATCGTTTAGGAAACAGCGGTAAATTTATGCTGGTTCTCGGAATCTTACTCAAATTGAGTATAATTTATCATAATACCCATTTTCAGCCATTATACAAGGTGTTTATTTAACATGCAGCAATAATTCAAGGGGTTTTCCTTGATGAATGCTTCCAGAAATTCAATTGATTATTTTGAAATATAATTGATGCTCTCTGGAATACAAGTGACTATCATAAAATACATTTGACACTTTCTGAAATACTACTGAAAAAAGTGTAGTGCGTAGGCAGGCGTGCAATGAAAATTGCTGCATTTTTTTGGAAAATTGCGAACTGTAAAGCGGTTCTTGAGAGAAGCTTCAATATATTTGAATACACCAATTAAGAACCTTCAAGAAAATATCAACTCATTCAACCATGGACTTTGCAAAAAATGAATTGTACAGTGAGCCATAATAGATCCATTTGGGGTCCTAACCTAACTCAACCTCTAACACTAGCCTGGCTGTAATGATACAGGGTGATCAGAATTCTGAATCTTGAAGCACCCTGTATTTTTACCAATTAAATTCCAGTAGATAGTGAATCAAAAGTTAGTATAGGGACATGTAAGCCGTTTTGATCGATGATGAATAGTTTCGACACAAAAAAATCCTAAAATTGAAAAATCTCGATTTTGAACACCCTATATCTCTGTAATCATTCCTGATAGACCCCAAGTGTGATGCATTGATGAAATCAGCTCTCCAGTAGGAATCTAAAAATGCAATAAAATACAGGGTGTTTCATTTGAAATAACGAAGTTGGGGTCCACTTCCGGTACAACCGGAAGTGCCACAATCTTCGAAATATTTTAGCCGGATAGCACTTATCAACAATAGTGAACTTCCAAATTTTCCGGCCTACCTATGGTTTTCTGTATACAGTGTGTCCCACTTACCATGCTCACCATGGGTATCTTTTTAAAGTTGAGAGATACGAAGTCGGTTAAATGACACCAAATGTGGAGTTTGTCAAGACCAACTATAATGTGAAAAGAAAAAATATTTTGATAAAATCTATTCGTTTTTGTTTTATACGCAAATAACAGATTTTGATCATTTTCATGTCTCCTCCGTAACTTCTTTATTTATGAAAATACTCAAATAGGAATTTCACATTTTCATGGCAGTTTTTCAAAGTGATTTCAAAAAAAATATGGAATTTATACCAATTCTTCTAGAATTTGAGATATCAGCACCAACTTTAGTTGTTCAAATGTAGACCATAGCTCACTATGACTTAGTTACAAATAACTTTTTTTCTCTTACAGATGATATGTCGCAGTAATAGTTTTGTGTTGATAACAACGGAGTTATCGTCATTTATACAAAAACAAACATTTATTTGGAAGCTGCCATATTGAATTCATGAATTTCAACAACAAAATAATGATCTCCGACCTCAAAAACCCCCACTAACCAATTTTGAATGGAATCGGACCAAATCTTGTCCGCCATCTTGGAGCAGCCATTTTTTTTAATTTCAACAAAAATTCCATAATGTATTGTCACCGAAATTATGAACATCTGCCAAATTTCAAGTTAATCGGACGACCAGAAGTGGGAAAAAATTCACTTGAAATTAAAAAAAATGGTTGCTCCAAGATGGCGGACAAGATTTGGTCCGATTCCATTCAAAATTGGTAAGTGGGGGTTTTTGAGGTCGTAGATCATGATTTTTTTGTTGAAATTTATAAATTCAAGATGGCGGATTCCAAATGACTTTTTGTTTTTGTATAAATGACGATAACTTCGTTGTTATCAACACAAAACTATTACTGCGACATATCATCTGTAAGAGAAAAAAAAGTTACTTGTAACTAAGTCATAGTGAGCTATGACCTACATTCGAAAAACTAAAGTTGGTGCTGATATCTCAGATTCTAGAAGAGTTGGTATAAATTTCATATTTTTTTCGAAATCACTTTCAAAAACTGCCATGAGATTGTGAAATTCCTATTTGAATATTTTCATAAATAAAGAAGTTACGGAGGAGACATGAAAATGATCAAAATCTGTTTTTTGCGTATAAAACAAAAACGAATACATTTTATAGAAATATTTTTTCACATTATAGTTGGCCTTGACAAACTCCAGATTTGGTGTCATTTAACCGACCTCGTATCTCTAACTGTTAGAAAGATACCCATGGTGAGCATGGTAAGTGGGACACACTGTATTGATCGATGCAGTTGCCGGAGGGACACCCTGTATAATTGAAAATAGTCAGTCTATGAGATATCTGGTTGTGCCTTCACTAAACATATGATTTTTCATCCTTGTTGCTAATTTTGATGTAGCTAACCTAACCCCCCCCCCTTTTGCGTTCCAGGTCACCTCATCAACGACCACTCAGCCCAACGCCCTAAAGAACCAGGCAGCCGGGACCCCCCCGAGCCCCTCCAAAACCCCAACACCGCCCCACTGCTGCGCCTGGTGCGCCGCCTCTCGCTCACCGCCCCCCAATCCCACCCCAAAGATACCGCTTCCAACCCCCACTCTCAAAATGCCGTCGAAATGGGGGCGAACGTGAGTCGACATTCGTCCAAAGGCCTGTCGGGCCGCCGATCCCACTCCAGCGGCAGCATTTGCAACGGGGGCGGGCTTCCCCCCGAGGGGAAGATCTGCAGCAGTCTGCCCAGCTACCTGGACGATGGGGAAGAGGCGGCGTGCGAGGGGGGGCGACAGAAGAAGTCCGGCATAGACGAGGTTCGTATAAACACATTTTTTCACATGAAGTAGGAGTTTCTTGAACCTCACTGAAGTCCCACAAGACTTTTCCGGACTTGTAGGACTTCACTAGAGTCCTGTAAGTTTCAATCATTCTTTACGGACTCCATAGTGACTTAGTGAGAAATTGTGGAACTCCATGGCCTCTGCAGGAGACCTAAAATCGCCTTGAATACTGTTTCGGTACTCACAAGATTTGAATTGGCACTTCACAGACATAGCCGTTTCCCACAGTGTACTTTACTGACTTGATTTTATTCTCACAAGACAATCTCGATACTTCATCGACTCTACAAGGTTTCATCGGTACTTCGTGGACTTATTGAAATTCTACGAGATTTTATCGGCACCTCAAGGACTTTACAGTTAAGTTTCACGGACTTTATTAAGCTCCACAAAGTTCAATCAATTCTTCATGGGTTTTATGGATATCATGAAAATTCTTTGCTACTTCAAGGACACTCCCCAAGTCTGAGGACTCCACTTGAGTCTAACAAGACTTCCTTGGCACTTGTCCAGACTTCAATGAAGTCTCACAAAATATTCTCGCTACTAGTTCTGTTTTCTTGGCACATCTTGGAATTTGATGGAATTGGTATTCCAAATTTGGACTTGATGGTAGTCTCACAAGACAGTCTCGATATTTCATCGACTACAAGATTTCATTGGTACCTCGTGGACTTATTGAACTTCTAAGAGATTTTATCGGTACCTCAAGGACTTGACTCAAGTTTCACGGGCTTACACGTTACTAGTTCTGTTTTCTTGGCACATCTTGGACTTTGATGGAATTGGTAGTCCAAAGTATCTACTGGACTTCCCAAAAGTCTTACTAGGTTTGTTAGGTACTTCAGAACTTCACTGATGTCTTACACGAGGTCTCAGAAGACCTCTTGGGTATTTTATAAACCTTATTGAAGTCTCACAAGACTTCTTGGGCACTTTATAAACCTTATTGAAGTCTCACAAGATTTTTTCGTGACTTTTCAGACTTCACTTGAGTCCTACAAATGTCAATCGATACTTAACGGACCTCATAGTGACTTGTACGGAGCTGTTTCTCCACAAGACTTCCACGGTGTACTTCACTGACTTGATTGTAGTCTCACAAGACATTCTCGATACTTCATAGACTCCACAAGATTTCATCGGTACTTCATGGACTTTGAATTGAAATTCTACGAGATTTTATCCTCAGATTCTTGTCAACCTGGCGAGTAATTAACCTCACTTTTATTAATTTCTAAATTGTATTCTACAAAGAAAGATAATATGGAAATGTGTCTCATTGATTTGTTTTTCTAGATGATTGCCAAAAAAATAGTGTACGCGACATGTCCAAAAACAGTTTTTTTTGGACTCGCAGACTTCCAGGACTCGCAGACTTCCAGGACTCGCCTACGACTCGACCTAGAATTTCGTCTCCTCGTCCTAAAAACCAGTATTTCCCGAACATGTTACGTAAATTACTATTTCTCTATAGAGTATACCAAAGGGTTGAGATATTTTTAACATCCAAGGAAACCTTGAACGTTTTTCGCATGGCCATGAAGATCGATGTGATTCGGGTATAAAGGGATATGGCATGGAAATCCCCACACATTTTCCCAGACAGGTGGAATATGGCTAGCCGAAATCTGCAATTTCCTATTCAGATTCGGTACGCCGGTTTTAACACAGAGGTATCCTTGTGAAGATGTCGAGATTTCTCAGCAAAGCCCCCAAACTGCTATCTTTCCTCTGACATTCCTTTAAAAGTCGATCCCCATAATAATCGGAAAATAAAATGGGATGGATGTTGGAGATACATTTCTCTCCACCGCAAATGAAGTTATCGAAAAAGACGATATACCATATACAGTGGATTTGAGAAGTGAGGCATTTGAAAGCTTCTATTTAACTTGCAATGTTTGGATGTATGATAGTTCGGGTGGAATCTTTGAACATAATTTTGAAGTAGATATCTTCAACCGATTGAGCTGAAATTTTGTATAGACGTTTAGTTTGGATGACAATGCACGATAAGGTGTGTTGAGTTATTCTAAATCCAATATGGCGGATCATCCAAGATGGCGGAATAGTTATTTTTAATGCAATTCCACAATATGGGTATCAAATGAAAGGACTCGTTGGCAGTAACTCGAAAAATAATGTGACGTCATTCTGAGTTCAATATGGCGGACAATCCGAGATGGCGGATTAGTAATTTTTGATGCACTTCCACAATATGGGTATCAAATGAAAGGACTCGTTGAGAGTAACTCGGAAAATAATGTGACGTCATTTTGAATCCAATATGGCGGATCATCCAGGACGGCGTAATAGTTATTTCTAATGCACTTCCACAATATGGGTAGCAAATCGAAGGGCTTGTTGAGAGTAACTCGAAAATTAACGTGACGGCATTCTAAATCCAATATGGCGGACTATCCAAGATGGCGGAATAGTCATTTTTAATTCATTAGGTAGAAAGCGAAATTTCTTTCCCTCATTCAGTAATACTTTCAGTTTATTTTGGAAATTCAGTAAAATATAATTATGAAAATTAGTAGGTAAAAAGTTTAAATTTAGAGACTGTGTATGTGTATGAGAAGCTTCATTTATGAAACCAGTTTTAAATTTTGGAATAACCATTCACACGTGAGGACGATGTGTTTTCAAGTCGAATTGCCAGAATTTTCAAAGGTTTCAGAGGACGTTTAAGGAGGATGTAGGGAACAATGGGATAATGGAAAGAAATTGTTGAGCTATATAAGTCAAAGTGTTCCCGTTTTGTTATGTTTGATGGCAGGCTTTTATTACAAAACAAAATGAATAACGGTTGCTAGGGAAGGTAACGTTGGCTAATATCGAAACTGCTGAGATAAAGTTTTGATGGGAACTCGAGATACATTAGTCACTTTTTTGTTCGAGCAGAGTGAGACACAATAGGAAATTAGTTGGCTTGAATGGATCGAGTTTCTGTGCAGTAAGCAGAAACATTAACTTTGAAACTTCTGGAATACTATTTATAAAGGTGATTCGAGAACGGATGGTTCGAAAGAATAATTCCTCTAGACTTTTTTCCAATGGGCTATTATTTGGCATTTCATAAGATAATTTGGACACAATCGAAAAGTCAGGAATACACGAAATTAGTTGTGATGATTGTGATAAAACATATATGGGCCAAAGTAGGCGACCCATAAAATCAAGGTTCAAAGAACACCTAGCACATTCGAATTATAATATCTAGTTTAGATAAATCGAGTGCAGCAATATCATAACATACATTTCAATAATCTTAAATTAATCGAACTTCTCTCATACATTTCAATTTCCATTTCGATATTGAATATATTGGTAACTTAAATTTCTATATCATTATCACATCATATCATTCATCCGATTTGAAAGAGAATGTCGATTCTCAATGTCAGAAGATTTTTATTTTCATTTCCCGCTCTTGGCAGATAGCCAGGAAAGTAGTTGTTTTCTGTTGAATATACCGAAAAAGAAATAATATTTTTATCAGATAGATAATGCTAAATGTCGAGGTATTTCTTTATATGTCGTATCCATTTTTTCATGTTCACAGTATATCTAAGAATATTCTTTTTCAATAAGTTAATGAGTTAATATTGTTGGAAAATTAGAATTATTAGATATGAAAGCCTGCAAATAAATACTTGAGAATAGTAATAAAGTTATGAACAAGGATAATGGACCTCTTCCATATAGACTTCTGTACAGTTTAGTGATTTAGGATTAGGATGAACTTGTAAACCCCACTCTTTTTTTTTGTTTTATTCAATTTTTCTCTTCAGGAAACATCCTTTCATATTTTTTTCTGTAGATTTCATATATTATTATGCCAACAGAAAAACAGTTGAACATCTTAAAAAATACGTATGGGCAACATTTATAAATTTTCAAATAGGTTACCCTGTATTTTATTGCATTTTCAGATTCTTCCTGAAGAGCTGATAGATCTATCATACTTGGGGTCCAGCTGAAATGATTACAGGGATTGAAGGTGTGAGAGATTGAGATTTTTATGTCCTTTTCTTAACTTTTAACTCACTATCTACTGACATGTAATCAAAACAAATACAGGGTGGTGAAAAGTTCAGAATTCTGATGACCCTGTATTAGTTTCAATTAATTGTGAGTACTGTCTGTGATAGTAAATCAAAAGTTGAGATAATGGGACATGAAATCCGGTTTGGCAAATAAAAATGAATAGTTTCGACACAAAAAATTCCTAGAATTGACAATAAGTGTGATGGATCGATGAAATCAGCTCTCAAGAGAGAAACTTAGAATGGAACAAAATACAGGGTTTCCTATTTAAAAATTTATAAATGTCGCCCATAAGTATTTTCTGAGATATTCAACTGCTTCTCTATTGGCATATATTATTATAAAATCTACAGAGAGAAATACGAAAGGAGGTTACATAAAAAAATTCAACAATACATAAAAAAGTTGAGTGGAGGTTGAAAATATACGTGAAGACCCTGTACGTAGAGTAATTTCATTCCAAACATATAGCAGTGTTGCATATGTCAAAAAAATAAGTAGTATTTTTAAAGCAAAAATGTTTTTTTGCAATCTATTACTATTTTTTTTAAATCTGTTACGTTTTGATGCCACATTGCCTCATGCGCATGCGCAGGTAATAGTTGTCGTAGGTACTATATGAAGTGTACGAGTTCAATCTGACCTGAAATGAAGCATCTAGAAACAAGACGCAAGATCGCGAAGTTCCTCATTTAATTGCTGATTTGTGACGGTAGCGACTGAGGGAGTTTTTTATCAGGAACCTTGAATAAATTAGCTCAATTCATATGTTTCAAAACCCCTAATAATATGGAAACGATTGAATATTTAATAATATTCTCTAAAGTCTATAGGCACAGTTTAATGCTGAAGGAAGCTAGGTGAATAGGTGATCTTGTTCGCACAGGAGACCAAGGAAACCCAAAAATACAAGTCAAATTTGTCAAATCCGTCAAATGTCAATATTCACAGAATGTCACAGAACTCACAGATCATGTGCACAAATCCGAAATTCATATTATCGCATGCATAAAACTTCAAACTTCAAACAGTAGTTGCATAATATCTTTTATAATGACGAATACCTGATTCAAATTCGCCCGTTGATGACGTTCTGTTGGGATAGTAATAGATTTGTCATTTTTTGAGAGTAGTGTACGTAATAGCGTAATAAATGGGATCCGAAAGTAATAGTATATATCATATAATAACGTGAAATACATGAGTCCATGTATGAGAGAAACGTTTTTTGGCCATTCTGTTTGTATTTACCGCCATCCATAGTTATATTTGAAATTCAACCAGTCAGAGTTGAAGTTCACTAATAAGTACTAATTTTTCTCCTGAATAACTTCCATTAGAAAGCTGAGTAGACTTCAACTACAATCATATTTCGTCAAAATAAAGCTATTCGAGTAATCAAACTTCCATAATATTGCTTCTACAGTGATAGAGGTTTTCAGTTCGGAAATTTGGAGCGAAGTCCCCCATTGTATCTGTATATTCGGTAAATAAACTGGTTGGCTGATTGATTGATTTCATTTTTCCAGGTGGACCGACTGTCCTCCCTTGGGGACGGCGCCCCCTTCCACTGGAAGTTCTCCGAGGGGGCGGGCCACCCCCTGTGCGACCAGGGCTACGGCTCGGAGCGCTCCCCCGAAGACGAGTTCCCACCCCCCTTGCCTGACCACGACCGCCTCCATACGTGCCACCGCCACCTGGAGCCGCATCAGTGCTACCCCTTCATCACTCCGGGTGAGTTTCGGGAAAGGGAAGGGTTTGTGAGAATTCACAATGTAAACTCTTACAATGTACTCTTCACAATGTGAACTTTACATATCGTACACTTACAACGTAAACTTCACAAAGCACACTTACAATGTGAACTTTACAATGTAAACTTCACAATGTACACTTTACAATGTGATTTTATCCATGAATCTGCTGTATATGAGTTCATATATAGTTCTTGAGTTTGGGGAGAGGAAAGGGTTTGCGAGAATTTACAATGTAACTCTCACAATGTACACCTTACAATGTGAACTTTAAATATCGTACACTTACAACGTAAACTTCACAGAGCACACTTTCTTGCGAGAATTTACTATGTAAACTCTTACAAAGTACTCTTAACAATGTGAACTTAACATATCGTACACTCACAACGTAAACATTACAGAGCACACTTACAATGTAAACTTCACAATGTACACTTTACAATGTAATATAATCCATGAATCTGCTGTATGTGAGTTCATATATAGTTCTTGAGTTTGGGGAGGGGGAAGGGTTTGCGGGAATTTACAATGTAAACTCTTACAATGTACTCTTTACAATGTGAACTTTACATATCGTACACTTACAACGTAAACTTCACAGAGCACACTTACAATGTAAACTTTACAATGTAATTTAATCCATGAATCTGCTGTATATGAATTTAAGGAGGAGGAAGGGTTCGCGAGAATTTACAATGTGAACTCTTACAATGTACACCTTACAATGTGAACTTTACATAGTGCACTTACAACGTGAGGTTAGGTTAGGTTCCATGTGAGTGGGGCGAACACCTCCCCTCCACTGCGACCCTAGATGGGTCTATTGTGGCTCACTTACAATGTAAACTTTACAATGTGATTTAATCCATGAATCTGCTGTATATGAGTTTAAGGAGGAGGAAGGGTTCGCGAGAATTTACAATGTGAACTCTTACAATGTACACCTTACAATGTGAACTTTACATAGTGCACTTACAACGTAAACTTTACTATGTAATGTACAGGGTGATTGTTTATATTTTACTCAATATCTATCTCAGTTGATTACCCTGTTTTCAATGCTTTTGCGTAATATCTCAGTTATCTTGAAGAAAAAAAGGAATTCAATGAGATTATAAAATACTGTGCGTTCCATTCAAAAAATCATAAAGTTTGTAGCAAAACAATCTTTCCTGTCCATCATGGAAAATTACCTGATTTGTATACGACCTGAATGTATGTTCGGATATCTGTGTTCGTCCTACCACTTTTCGTTTACCCTCGTCTTTTGGAGTCCCCGCGTTCAGGAGTTTTTATATACACGGTGTTTTTGTTGTAGAAGCGGACAACGCCAGCATGCCCAAGGTTGTTGTTTATTTCTAGTTCTAGCACCTGGTGAACTTTGTACCTATTGGCTTTATGTGGGAGGAATTTCGCCTGGTGGTATACCACACTGCGTACAAATTGATGAATTACGGATTGCCTAAGTGATCCCAAAAATCCATAAGTGGAAAAGACTATATAGGTATTTCGCGCACCTCGTCTATATCGCAAAAAAGTGTGGCAAAAAGTAGTTTTCAAGTTCTCGAAGTTTGGGAACGCAGAAATGATTCGCAATCAGTGAACCGCCTTCATCATTGTGTACTTGTGTGGTCCATTGACGTTTATTTCGGATTCATAGTGAGTGCTCTTGGTCAGAAAGTGCAAATACCGATTTCTTCGTCTTGTAGCCATCTGATTTTCTGTCAAGTAATGCTCATCTATTAGACAGAGCTTCACATTTGACATTCCATGAGCGATGAGATTCTCTTGAAATAATAACACAATGGAGTCATTGTAATATCAGATACGGAAATAATATTGATGACATGCAAAGTACCTCAGGGATTTTTGTGATTTTTGCAATTTTCAGGAATTTTGTCAATTTTCAGGAATTTTTGCATTTTTGCTATTTTTGCAATTTTCAGTTATTTTTGCGATTTTTGCAATTTCCAGGAATTTTTGTGATTTTCGCAATTTTTACGATTTTTATGAATTTTTGCGATTTTTGCAATTTTCAGGAATTTTTGCAATTTTGGCAATTTTCAGGAATTTTTGCAATTTTTGCTATTTTCGCTATTTTCAGTCATTTTTGCGATTTTTGCAATTTTCAGGAATTTTTGCGATTTTTGCAATTTTTACAATTTTCATGAATTTTTGCGATTTTTGCAATTTTCAAGAATTTTCGCGATTTTTGCAATCTTCAGGCATTTTTGCGATTTTTGCAATTTTTACGATTTTCATGAATTGTTGCGATTTTTGCAATTTTCAGGAATTTTTGCAATTTCTGCAATTTTCAGGAATTTTTGCGATTTTTGCAATTTTCAGGAATTTTTGCAATTTTCAGGAATTTTTGCAATTTTCAGGAATTTTTGCATTTTTGCTATTTTTGCAATTTTCAGTTATTTTTGCGATTTTTGCAATTTTCAGGAATTTTTGTGATTTTCGCAATTTTTACAATTTTCATGAATTTTTGCGATTTTTGCAATTTTCAGGAATTTTTGCAATTTTGGCAATTTTTTGGCATTTTTGCGATTTTTGCAATTTTCTGGACTTTTCACAATTTTCAGGTATTTTGCAATTTTTGCAATTTTCAGGAATTTTTGCAATTTTCAGGAATTTTTGCAATTTTTGCTATTTTCGCAATTTTCAGTCATTTTTGCGATTTTTGCAATTTTTGCAATTTTCAGGAATTTTTGCGATTTTTGCAATTTTTACAATTTTCATGAATTTTTGCAATTTTCAGGAATTTTTGCAATTTTTTCAATTTTCAGGAATTTTCGCAATTTTTGCAATTTTCAGTCATTTTTGCGATTTTTGCAATTTTCAGAAATTTTTGCGATTTTTGCAATTTTTACGATTTTCATGAATTTTTGCGATTTTTGCAATTTTCAGGAATTTTTGCAATTTCTGCAATTTTCAGGAATTTTTGCGATTTTTGCAATTTTCAGGAATTTTTGCATTCTTGCTATTTTTGCAATTTTCAGTTATTTTTGCGATTTTTGCTCTTTTCAGGAATTTTTGTGATTTTCGCAATTTTCACAATTTTTATGAATTTTTGCGATTTTTGCAATTTTCAGGAATTTTTGCAATTTTTGCAATTTTCAGGAATTTTTGCAATTTCTGCAATTTTTTGGAATTTTTGCGATTTTTGCAATTTTCTGGACTTTTCACAATTTTCAGGAATTTTTGCAATTTTTGCTATTCTCGCTATTTTCAGTCATTTTTGCGATTTTTGCAATTTTCAGGAATTTTTGCAATTTCTGCAATTTTTTGGCATTTTTGCGATTTTTGCAATTTTCTGGACTTTTTACAATTTTCAGGAATTTTTGCAATTTTCAGGTATTTTTGCGATTTTTGCAATTTTCAGGAATTTTTGCAATTTTTGCAATTTTCAGGAATTTTGGCAATTTTTGCAATTTTCAGGAATTTTTGCCATTTTTGCAATTTTCAGGAAATCTTGCAATTTTTGAAATTTTCAGGAATTTTTGCTATTTTTGCAATTTTCAGGCATTTTTGCTTTTTTTGCAATTTTCAGGAATTTTTGCAATTTTTGCAATTTTCAGAAATTTTTGCAATTTTTGCAAATTGTATGAATTTTTGCATTTTCGCAATTTTCAGGAATTTTTGCAATTTTTGCAATTTTCAGGAATTTTTGCAATTTCTGCAATTTCTGCAATTTTCAGGAATTTTTGCGAATTTTTGCTATTTCCAGGAATTTTTGCAATTTTCAGGAATTTTTGCAATCTTTTAAATTTCTGCGATTTTCGCAATTTTCGGGAATTTTCAAGAGTTTTTGCAATTTTCAGGAATTTTTGCGATTTCCAGGAATTTTTGCAATTTTCGAAAATTTTCGCAATTTTTGCAATTTTCAGTCATTTTTGCGATTTTTGCAATTTTTGCAATTTTCAGGAATTTTTGCAATTTTCAGGAATTTTTGCGATTTTTGCAATTTTTACAATTTTCATGAATTTTTGCGATTTTTGCAATTTTCAGGAATTTTTGCAATTTTTGCAATTTTCAGGAATTTTTGCAATTTCTGCAATTTTCAGGAATTTTCAGGAATTTTTGCAATTTCTGCAATTTCTGCAATTTTCAGGAATTTTTGCGAATTTTACAATTTTCAGAAATTTTTGCAATTCTCATGAATTTTTGCGATTTTTGCAATTTTCAGGAATTTTTGCAATTTTTGCAATTTTCAGGAATTTTTGCAATTTTTGCAATTTTCAGGAATTTTTGCAATTTCTGCAATTGTCAGGAATTTTTGCGATTTTTGCAATTTTCAGGAATTTTCGCGATTTTTGCAATTTTTACAATTTTCATGAATTTTTGCGATTTGTGCAATTTTCAGGAATTTTTGCAATTTTTGCAATTTTCAGGAATTTTTGCAATTTTTACAATTTTCAGGAATTTTTGCAATTTCCAGGAATTTTTGCAATTTTCAGGAATTTTTGCAATTTTTTGAATTTTTGCAATTTTCAGGAATTTTCAGGAATTTTTGCGATTTTCAGGAATTTTCGCAATTTTCGGGAATTTTCGCAATTTTTGCAATTTTCAGTCATTTTTGCGATTTTTGCAATTTTCAGAAATTTTTGCGATTTTTGCAATTTTTGCAATTTTCGCAATTTTCAGGAATTTTGGCGATTTTTGCAATTTTTACAACTTTCATGAATTTTTGCGATTTTTGCAATTTTCAGGAATTTGTGCAATATTCAGGCATTTTTGCGATTTTTGCAATTTTCAGGAATTTTTGCTATTTTCGCAATTTTCAGTCATATTTGCGATTTTTGCAATTTTCAGGCATTTTTGCGATTTTTGCAATTTTCAGGAATTTTTGCGATTTTTGCAATTTTCAGGAATTTTTGCTATTTTCGCAATTTTCAGTCATTTTTGCGATTTTTGCAATTTCCAAGAATTTTCGCAATTTTTGCAATTTTCAGGAATTTTTGCAATTTCTGT